GGTCTGGCCTCGCCATCCACCTGCGCCCTTTCCCGTCTCCGGTCTTCTCGATTCTGTCTTGACGCCGAGTCCAGGTGGGGGAGGAGAAGACAGTGCGGCAGATGCTGTCCAAGCCCGCTCTCACCGCCTGTGGAGCACACGGCGGACATAGTAGAAATCGACGGTCGAACTGTCGTGTGTGTGTGTATACGCATCTCGCATCTCGACTCGCTCCCCATGCGGCTTCGGCTGCACGGGTGACTTGAGTCCGAGACTATCCCAACACGTCAAGCGTCGTGGATAGGAAGGTTGCTGATTGACGCCCGCTCTCGGTTCACGCAGTTCGTCGCGTTGTGTGTGTGTGCGTTGTGTGGAGTGGCGGACTGGTGGGCTGGGAACGGGCTGAAACAGCACCTTCCACGGCACTCTCACGCAAGTGAGAGACACGTCGTTCGACCCCCGTTGTGTGAAATCCTGGTGTTGTGTGTATGGGGGGCCAGGTCGTGCCGTGGCGCGCGCAGTCATGGTCAGTCGACCATGACAGCCACCGCGCCCATTCCCCACTCCAGTCTGCTGACCGGCTCGGACAGCGGCTGGGGTGTGGGAGTGGGAAGGGAGAGTGAGGTCGACGACTCAGCGCACTTTCTCCTCACTATAAACAATCTGACGCCCTTGAAGCTATCACGGTGCGCTAAAAGCCGTGGCTTGGAAGGTTGCCAACTGACGGGGTAACTTGGACCTCCTCCTTCACTGGAGGCGGTCTGAGAGTAAGGCTGCAATGGCTCCTTTTTAATGTGGCCTTTATGGCACTCCCATCACAGTGTGGGATCCGAGCCAGGCGTTGGCGGCACGCCCAGGTGCGGCTTCGGCCGTGCCAGCCTCCAAATCTCTGTTGTGTTGGTTGAAATCCTGGTTATTTTTTGTGTGGATCAGGGGGTGTGGTGGAACGCCAAGGTGAGGATCCGTCCGAGCCATCCACCTGCGGCCTCTCTCGTCTCCGGTCTTCTTGACTCTGTCTTGCCACCGGGCTCGGGCGAGGGAGGAGAAGAGAGTGTAGGTAGATGCTACGCAAGTCTACCGGCCCTATAAACCCCTGCGTAAGTCACCGTCCCTGCTCCCATTGCTGCTGCAACAGTGGGGCACACGGTGGACATCATCGGAATTGATGGTCGAACTGTCAGTCAGTATACGCGGTGGAGGCAGGCAGTGCGCGTCGGAACGTTGGGTCATGTGAGACACTCCCACTGTCATTTATTCGCATGCACGCACGCACTCACGCGTAGTTGTTTTCTGCCAGTTCAGATTACGCGCTGCGTATGACGGCGAATCCAGATGTCGAACGGCAGCAGCAGCAGCAGCAGTGAGATGAAAAAGCGGCTACGCTGTCATCGGAAGTTGTGGGAGTTGCGCAGGAATGCATGAAGTTCCCGGCTGGGGGTGAAGATGGGAGAGTAATAATGTGAGCTTACGTACTGCAGACATGGAAAGTGGATTTTGGGTAACTGAGAGCTGTGAAGCACGACTTTCGCGTAGCTTGTACATTCACGAGAGCGGCCGACGGGGTCTGAAACTGGGCAGATGGATTTACTCAAAGTCCGATGATCAAATCTATTTTGGTTAAAATACGAGTCCGTCCAGAAGTGAGGCTGGGAAGTGTCGGCTGACGAGGATGATGATTGATGATGGTTGTGATGATGATGATGATGATGATGATGATGGTGGTGGTGGTGGTGGTGGTGGTGGTGGTGGTGGTGGTGATGGTGGTGGTGATGATGATGATGATGATGATGATGATGATGATGATGATGATGATGATGATGATGATGATGATGATGATGATGATGATGATGATGATGCGCACATCCATTTGGCGGGCCACTTGGTGGTCCGGGCATAAAGCCCCAGCGGGAATTCTCAGAGCACACTGCAGTTAGTAACCGATCTCATGAAATGCTGGCCGAAATTCTGAGAGGTTTCCAATCAGGAAGGTTTGCTTACGTGAAGTTGTAACACTGGTTATCATACAACATAATCGTATGATATTCAAGACTCACAAGAACGTCCACCTTTAAATTTACATCTTCTCGACCTCCTGCAGAAACCACACTCGACTAAAATGCCTACTTATGTAGCACACCTTTTCGCAGTCATTTTCGATAGTCTTATAAATTCGAACATATTTTATTTTTAAAATGCACAAAAATATGCTTTATTTTACCCGTTTAGTAAAAAATTACACTTTCTTTACTTTTATAGCCTAAGAAATGTTATCTTTCGGTTTTAAAAAAGTTTCCAATTGTGAGATTTTTAAGACTGTGCGATGTCCGTACATTCAGCATCGCACATGTCCGTTTACCAATGCTCTTCATGAAATGTACAACACAGTCCGCATTCATTGCAAAATTATATGAAATCTATACGGTGTCTTCTTAGAGGCATGGAGGAATATGATTTTCCTTACGCGGAAAGTCTACACCTTGTAGACTGAAATCCCTAAAAACTAGTGCAACGGCTAATCGGGCTCAAAATTATTCAGGAATTTGGAAACTTTTAAAACCTAAATATGCACTTTCTTAGGGCATGAAATGTAAGGACAATGTAATTTTCTACTAAACGAGTAAAAGGAAGCATATTTTGTGCATGTTTTCTATAAAATATATTTGAGTTTATAAGACCATCGAAAATCAATGTGAAAAGGCGTTCTACAGCCTGCGGCTGTCTCTGATGATGGGTTCGAGTGAGAATCCGAAAAGCCAGGCCAATAAATTTCTTGTTCCAGTGATCGCATCTTCTTCTTATGAGCTGCTTCCTGAAACTCGCCTGTTCTGGTGAGTTTTGAATATCATAGGATTATGTTGCATGATAACGAATGTTACAACTTCACCTAAGTAAGCCTTCCTAAGCAAAAACTTATCTCAGAATTTCGGCCAACATTTAATGAGATCGGTCACTCACTGTAGGTTTAGACATTCCTTCACCGTACTTTCTCTCTTCTTCACAGGCAGGGTGTCACAGACCAATGGTTGAATGGTTTCTCGCGGTCACTAAGTTCATCAGTGGCTTCAGCAGCTGTGACTCTTATGAGGTGTGCGAGAACTCGGGAGATGTACTCACGTCGACTAAAAGTCCAATTATATTTCATGGAAAACATGAACAAAAATATTCATTCTTCCCCTCATTCGGTAGAAAATTACGTCTTCTTCCAATTTTATGCTCGAAGGAGGAGCATACTTCGGTTTTAAAAAGTTTCTAATTGTGAGCCTTTTAAATACCGTAAAATGGCCGTTCATAAATCGCCATTTAACTGCATTTACCAATATGGCTTATAGATGTGCTAACTCATGAAATGTCAACCAAAATTTCGAAATGCGTTCTCGTTTCGGAAAGATAAATTAAGTAGTGTTGTGAAACTAATCATGATGCAGCATAAATCTATAATGATCCAGTTACCTCAGGGTGTCGGCTTTCGAAAGAACTTATTTTCGGCTACATGCAAGATTCATACTGTGCAAAAAAATGACTACTTATGTAGTATGCAATTTTATCATTGATTTTCGATGCCCTTGAAAATTCAATTATATTTCATGGAAAACATGCATAAAATATTCATTCCTTTACTTATTCGGTAGAAAATCATGTCTCCTTCCAAGTTCATACTCATAAGAAGAGTATAATTCAGTTTAAAAAAAGTTCCTAATTGTGAGATTGTTTAATACCGTTAGATGGCCGTTCATGAAACGTCATGTATCTGCATTTACGAATGTGGCTTGTAAAGTTAACAATATTGCTCAAATCCACAGCTTAATTTTATGAAACTCATATGGTCTCCTCTTAACACCGTAGAGAAATGCATGGTTTTCCGTACGCGGAAAATATACAGCTTGTAGTTTTGAAACCCTGAATGCAAGTGTAACAGCAGGTCAGGTTCAAAATTATTCGGGAATTAGAAAAGTTTTTTGAAACCGAATCATACTCTTCTTTTGAGTATAAAATTGGAAGAAGACGTGACTTTCTACCGAATAAGTAAAATAATGAATAATTTCATGCATGTTTTCCATGAATTATAATTGAATTTTCAAGGGCATTGAAAATCAATGATAAAATTGCATACTACTTAAGTAATCGTTTTTTTGTAGAGTATGAATCTTGCATGCAGCCGAAAATAAGTTCTTTCGAAAGCCGACACCCTGAGGTAACTGGATCATTATAGCTTTATGCTGCATCCTGATTAGTTTTACAACACTACTTAATTTATCTTTTCGAAACCAGAAAGCATTTCGAAATTTTGGGTGACATTTCATGAGTTAGCACATCTACGGTACTCACGTCGACATGGCTGACTGCATCGGTGTGTCTACAGACCTCTTGTGCAAATTTCACAGAAAAGGCACCCCTGAAGATCGATAATTCGTTTGGCAGCGGTAGGTTGTGTAACCCCATCTTTCACCGAAATTACTATTGTTTATGAGGGGGACTGTACACAATCATTCTCAAAGAAATAAATAAATCAGGCGTACGCGTTCGAAAACAGAAACCGCTTGGAGATGTCGAGGAAGCAGAGCGTTTGCGATGTAGCCGAGGCAAAGTAAACCAAAATGCACTCAGCGATTCTTGCAGCGCGTACCGACATGGCACAAAAAGGTTTAACTGCCCTTTCAGACGAAATAAATAAGTCACGGCGTACGGAATTGACGACGAAAAGCAATGCCAATACATTGAGCTGACTAGAAATCAAGGTAAAACAAAGAGATTACGGAGAGTGGGAGCAGGAATACCATATCGAATAAGTGATCACTAAAATGTCAAGCTGGAACAACTCGATGCGTACGATTATATCAAAATGTTAGATAACACGCAAAGGGGACTTCCTGTTGCTATGGGTTAATAAGCAAAAATGCCTTCTAAGACGAATACAGTAGTTGCCCATATGTGCTAAACCCAGTGGAGTACACAACCTATTCTCAGCATTCGTTTTAACCTAAAATTTCCTTCTACCAGGGGGAATACTTGTATTTGGGCATACCCAAAATTTCCAACCATGAAGTAGACTTTTACAAACAATACTTGAACCAGACAGAAGAACAGACCAAGTCGCACCAAGAAACAACATGACAACTCCGTTACGATGAACAAATTCGCTTCTCAGATTATCATCCTGAAACTCTCACTTTAGCGAACATGAATTGGAATACGGGGACTCGGTTGATGGTCTCATAGCCTGCATCAATGCACTTGAAGACTTCTTCAGCAAACGTTTCAGAAGTTGCCTCTCTCCAAATCGACAACTACTTTTCACTTTGAACCCTGTTCTATCAGGGGGGGGGATACTCGTAGTTGGACACACTCAACATTTCCGGCCAAGAAGTAGACTTCTTCAAACATCAGTTTGCCCAGTCAGAAGAACAGACCAAGTCGCACCCAGGCAACAACATGACCAATCAGTCTGCTCGCTTAAGTGGCAACTTCACGCCCAGTTTCCAAATTTCCATATACTAACAAGTTACATACCAGCCTTGTGACCTGTGAGGCTGCACGCCGAGCCACAGCACCTTTCCGGGCTACTGATTAGTAATAGTGGACGCATATAAGTAAGTGAGTGGAACTCCTGCACAAGGATGAACTTGGCATTTTGCTATTACATGGATGGGGGGCGACAAGGTCCTTCCCTCGGAAAGAGATGCACTTCCGCAGGAGAAGACAAACAGACTGCTCAGTCTCACAGCAGTCCTTGTGGCCAGCCCCAGCGAGTGCGTTTGTGAGGAAGGGAGTGTGTGCGTACGTGGTGGAGGCAGGCAGTGCGCGTCAGAACGTTGGGTCATGTGAGACACTCCCACTGTCATTTGCACGCATGCATGCACGCCCGCACTCACGCGTAGTTGTTTTCTGCCAGTCCAGATCACGCGCCGCCTATGACGGCGAACCCTGGTGGCGAACAGCAGCAGCAGCAGTGGTGAGATGAACAAGCGGGTGCGCTGTCATCGGAAGTAGTGGGAGTTGCGCAGGAATGCATGGAGCTCACGCCGGGAGGGAAGACGAGAGAGTCATAATATGAGCTTACGTACCGCAGACATGTGAGGCAGGTGTTGAGTAATTGAGAACTGTGAAGCGCGACTTTCACATGACTTGCACATTCATGATAGTAGTCGAAGGGGAAGGAGCCCGTGATTCAAGGCGCAGACATATTGACTCGAATAGCCGGTGGTCAGCTGAACCCGAGTTCAAATCTGAAGTTATGCAGGCGTGAAATGAGACATGACTGGTTGATGGTGGTGGTGGTGGTGGTGGTGGTGGTGGTGGTGGTGGTGGGGTGTAGGGGTGTCAGCGGTGGGTTCACGTGAAGGTCGTAGTGGTCGCTCACTTGCTTGCAGGTGAGACTACGCCTAGCGTCCACTTGCTGGCACTCAACTCTCACCTGTGGCTCCACGTAGCTGGGCTCTGCTCAGCGGCCACACCCCGGGCAACCGTCTCGACCGGCGGGCCAAACCAGGTGAGGGCGGTTACTCCCTGTGCGCGTTGTGCCGCGTGCACAGGTGACAGCGGACTCCGTGGACGGTTGGTCGGATGGAACACCGCGTCGGCGCCGTCGTGACGAGGCTCTGTCTGACACACCGCTGGTCAGCCG